AGGCCACCTTCTGCAGAGATACCCATCCTTGCACAGCAGGGGGCTCCCGACCGGGGCAGGGCATGAGGAACCCCTCAGGGACAGCAGAGTGAGGTCCAACTCCTGGAGCCATGTGAAGCAAGATGAGCCTCAACTTCACTGTCCCCTAACGGGTTCCTTGGTCTCCAGGCAGGATCTTGCCAGTGCCTGCCAGAAGATGGCACCAAACCATCGTCCACCTCTGAAGTTTACCTCTCCAACTACCAATTCCTTTTTAAGAGATATTTAATTTTTTAAAATTTATTGGTTTTTAAATTTGCTATAGGGCACATGCACTCACCAGAGAGAGACAAAGAGCGAGTAAGAGAGAGAAAACATACCCCCAGGTCCGAGAATTGAGCCACAGTCGACTATGTGGGAGTCCAGCACCTTTAATCACCACGTCATCTGCTGGCCCTATTACCTATCTATTTTTGGTTATTCAGATTCAACCTACCCACGGCAATTTTTTAAAAAGAGTTCATTCTACTTAACTTTATTACTACTTATTATTATTGTTGTTGTTGTTGTTTTTAATTTGAACAGAGAGAGACAGGTGGAAAGTGAGAAAGCAAGCCACCAGGTAGGGGATTTGAACCATGGCCAGTCATGTTGGTCATGCACTCACCAGAGAGAGAGAGACAAAGAGCAAGTAAGAGAGAGAAAACATACCACCAGGTCCAAGAATTGAGCCACAGTCGACTATGTGGGAGTCCAGCACCTTTAATCACCACGTCATCTGCTGGCCCTATTACCTATCTATTTTTGGTTATTCAGATTCAACCTACCCACGGCAATTTTTTAAAAAGAGTTCATTCTACTTAACTTTATTAATGATTATTATTATTGTTGTTGTTGTTGTTTTTAATTTGAACAGAGAGAGACAGGTGGAAAGTGAGAAAGCAAGCCACCAGGTAGGGGATTTGAACCATGGCCAGTCATGTTGGTGTCCAGCGCCTTTAACCACCACGCCACATGCCAGCCTCACAACTATGTATTTTTAAAAATTATTTCTTTATTTAATTTTATGTATTATTATTTGACCAAAGAGACAGAGAGAATGAAAGAAGGAGAAAGTGAGAAAGCAAGCCTCCATGTCCGGGACTCAAACCACAATTGGCCATTTGGGAGTCCAACACCTTAACTATCATGCCACTGCTGACCTCTCCTCATGGCAATGTTTTTGGTTTTGGTTGATTGATTGGAGAGGTTTTTCACTATAGGGCGCATATGCTCTCCAGATAGACAGAGAGAGACATAGAGACAGAAAGCGAGAAATTACCCCCCAGGGGGGATGGTCACGCCGCAATCCCTTCTCCTCCATTCTCCTCTCGAGATCTTGGGTACGCACGCACACGCACCTGGCATGAGTTTAAGTCACCTGGTCTGGGACTTGAACTGTGGTTGACTACATGAGGATCCAGTGACATAGCTATTATACCAACTGCTGGTCCCATCATGCCAATTTTTTTTTTTAATAAACACCTCCCAGGAGGGATGGCCAAGCTATAATTCCTTCTCTTCTACTCTCCTCACAGGATTTTGGGTGCACACACGCACACACCTGGATTTTCAAGTCGTGGGGTCTGGTACTTGACCTGTAGTCAGCGATGTGGGAATCCGGGGCCTCAACCACCATGCCACTTGCTGGCCCCTACAAAAATTTTTCTTTAACTGCTGCTACTCGTCAAAGCCACACTTCTGTTAACTTTGACCTACCCTGATCTCCTGTCCTTAAACGTTATCGCTGGTTCTGTGTAATGCAGAACGTGGCTGTGAACTCTCTTATTGCGAGATTGTTCGTTCACACTGGTCTTGTCCCTCTAATTTGGAAACGTCTCCTCTGACCCCACAGTCTTGTTTTTTCTTTTTCTTTGATGTATAGGACGGCGTGGGAACTCGCCACATGATGGTAGCTGTGTAATGCAGAACGTGGCTGTGAACTCTTATTGCGAGATTGTTCGTTCACACTGGTCTTGTCCCTCTCATTTGGAAACGTCTCCTCTGGCCACAGTCTTGTTTTTTGATGTATAGGACGGCGCGGGAACTCGCCACGTGATGGTAGCTTGGTCCTGGCTCTTCAAGGTGCCACGCCGCTTACCTGACTTTCCAGGCAGGCTCTGAACCTGGGGATGGCCCCAACTACCCACAGCTGCCCTGGCACGGTGAGCCCTATGGAAGTGACCAGGTAGCAATCCTTGGCATCTAGATTGCTCAAGCCCATCACATTATTCCAGCTCTATCTCCTCTAGTGACTGGGTCAAGAGACCCGCAGAGTCTAATGCCCGTCCAAACTCCAAATGAAGTGTCTTTTAGAGGGTTAGCCCTGCAGGGCAGAGGTGAAGGACTGTGTGGGGGAAGCTGGATCCCACGTGGCCAACCACGACTCGAGTGTCAGCTCCTGGAAGCTTGAAAGACACACCGGGCGTGGTGCTTGCCCAGGATCCTGACATAACAGGGAACTGGAGAAAAAAGGATTGTGGCATGACCTGGCCCTGGGGTGGGGAGGGATGTGCTCTCCCTCTCTCTCTCCGTGCACACATGCATCCTCTGGCAATCAGTCAATCAATCAATCAATCAATCAATCAGTGTCTTCTGGTAACTCGAGCACAGCTGGAGGTTGGAAGGCACTCTTGTACTCTTTTCTATTTGTGAATAGCAGTAGAGCTGAAGGGGGCTTTAGCAGCTACCAGGCTTTCAAAAGTTACTCATTTTCTTCTTGAAAAATGAGCCTATTGCACCATGCCTACTGTGTGCAGGTCTATGCCAGACAGAACGTCCATGTAGCCGACTATGCGGATGGGGTCTGGAGAGCCACCCCTCTGTTCTCTGGCTTGGTGCATGCCAGGAGGCAGCTACTCACGTTTTTACTAGCAAGCCTTCTGGAATTTACCTCTGCAATGATAGCATCATGCTCTTCTAATTCCATGGGCGGTTTGAGCTCCAGTGGCCATGTTCAGCTCTATTAACATCTCTCCTTTCCATTGCTAAATCAGAGAGGCAGCATGGCTTATGTAAATAATGCCCGCCAAGGAGACCCTGCTGTGTCCTGACAGTTTTTCTCAAGCGCATTCAGACATAATTCTCCATAGACACTTGAGGGCTGTCTGGTGGAAGGCCGAGATTTATTCTGTAACCGGATCTTATCGCTTCCGCAACCCTGACATGGCTCCAGTCTCCTGGCCACAGTCCTGGTGCGGACCACCGTGCAGTTGCCTGGATTATTGCAACAGCCGCCAAACAGGTCTGCCTGCCTGGTCTTGCTCCTCTAATCCTTTCTCCAGAGAGCCTAAGTGAGCTGTTTAAATGGGGAAGCTGATCGCACCACTCCTCTGCTTAAAACCCTGTAATGCTTCTGCATTGCCTTCAGGATAAACTCTCAACTCCTCAGCATTGCTTTTAAGACCCAGCCCCTGCTTAGCACGCCAGCTGCAAGCCTTCCCCAGGCTGTTGCAGTCCCACAAACCACTTGGCTAATGAACCCCAGCACTCTTCAGTCTCCTACGTCCCAGTCTCTGCCTAGAACGCTTCCTCTCCCCTCTTCATTTAGCTAGCTCATTTGCCTTCCTGGTGTCATTGCAGGTGTCACTTCCTCCGAAAGCTTGTCAGAGCCCCCAAGGCGAGGCTGGCTATTCTTAGGTCCTCCTGGAGTTTTCTAGGTTGACCCTGTCTCTCTCATCAGGGTCTCTCAGAAGAGCCTGGACAGGTCTCCAGACAACAGCTCGAGGGCTGGGACTGTACTTATCAACCTCTCTCCGACACTAGCACCTGACATGGCCACTCGACGGCTACTGAATGAACGACAGACAACAGAACAGGATGATGGGGAAGTTTCGGGGGGTAGATTTCCACCACATATGGAAGCACTTGCTAAATAACAGAGTATCTACAGGAGCAACTGGGCCACCCTTAAGGCGCTCGGAGAGTGCCCTCTCTGGTCTCCAAGCAGAGCTCGTGTGGCGACCACCAGGCAGGGAGCTTCTGCACTTGGCAGGTGGGGGAACGTGCCCTCCATTTATCTCCTACCTGCCGTCACACCAGACTCACTTTTGGGGTCAAAAGTCTGGCTTTAAGTCTGTCTGTACTGCCTGTGGAGGCCTCGGACAAGTCACGGCCTGAGCTGCCTTCCTTGTGAAAGAGGTGACGCCCGCACTGCCTTCTTCACAGGTGTCGTCAGAACCCAATGAGATCACGTTTGTTAAAGCACTTTGTAAAAGCTTTCAAATCAAGTTTTCGTTCTGGGGTTTTTTCGTTTTTCCTACATGGCAGGTGCACTTGCCAGAGACAGACAGACAGGAAAAGTGAGAACTCACCCCCTGGAGAAGATGGCCATGCCACAGTCCCGTCTCCTCCAGTCTCTCAGGGTTTTGGGCATGCACATGCCCGACGTTTTCCAAGCTGCTGGGTCCGGGCGGGACTCAAACTGCACAGCTTGCCACGTGGGATCCCGTGCCTTAACCTCCACCTGCTTCCGGGCGGGACTCAAACTGCACGGCCTGCCACGTGGGATCCCGTGCCTTAACCTCCACCTGCTGACCCTGAACTCTATTATTTCCCACATAATCATCAGGGGTCGCACCATCACTGAGGGATTTTAGTGCAGCAACACTAGAAGGCAAAGCACGGCGAGGAGACTGCTGCGATCAGTGCTGGAGGGCAGAGCAGAGGTTTCCAGGCTCTCGGCCACGCGCCTGCCCTGGACAGGCCCTAGTGGAGCTGGGTCACTTGTTCAGCTAGGAGCTGTCAGAGGCTCGTTGTTCCGGCCGCTGGAGACTCCTTGGAGCCTACCACAGCTCGGGAAAAGGGCCCGACAGCCTTCAAGTCTTCTGAGCATCGGCAGAAACAAAACGACAGACCTGCTCGGGGACCTTCCCTGAGTCCCTCCTGGTGAACCTGCTCTGAGTCCCTCGATTTATGCCTAAAGCCAAGAATAGCTGGCAGCATTTCACTTTCCCTTTGGCAAGACGACCCCGATACAACCATTTAATTTAAAGGCTTTTTATTAGGAACCAGGGGATGAGCTGCGTACCCCTCTGTAACAGTCTAGAGCAGGTCACCGGGCCCAGGGTGGAGAGGCTGCCGAAGGTGCTATGGTGCTTCGCTGCACTTGCTGAGGGCCTGGAGGAAAGGCGGCAGCGGAGACTGGCAGGAACTGGCGTCGGCCTAGACGCCGGGAGCCAGGGGAGGGCCCTCTGTCTTCCTTCAACTCCACTCGAGGCTGGAGCAAGCCAGAAGAGAAAGTGGCTGGAGTGGGCAGGACGCAGCGTGTGGTCTGAACCCCGGCTTCGATGGTGCCCTTCACTTGCCTGCTCTCCACTCTTCCTGCCGCTTCGTGATCAGGTATTTGAAGAACTCATACACAGACCACGCGATGGCTGTGGAGGGGATCTGGTAGATGACTCTAGCCTGCACCCCTCGGAAGTAGGCAGTCACCCCGCCTACTTGGTACACCGTCCTGAAAGCACTAGCCATGCCTGTGATATGTCCTGTAATGTTCGAGTTCCAAGCCAAGGACTCCTGGGTGTTGAGCAGTGTTTTGCAAACGTCCAATGGGGTTGTGGCGGCGGCAGCTACAGCTCCTGCACAGGCTCCGGAGAGGACGTGGGAGCCGGGGTTGTACCGTCTCTGGGGGTTAAAGTGCTCCTGCAGGAATTCGTAGGTCATGAAGTGAATGGCTTGGAAGGGGACGTTCATGGTCAGCTGGGTGGTGTAGCTGCGGTAAAAGGCTCCGGCCCCTTCGTTCTGCCACACTGCCCGTACACAGTCTGTCACCCGGTGGTATGGCGAGTTGTACATCTGCATCCTCTGCTTGATCACTGGAGTGTCATCAACCAGGAAGGAAATGGGGACAGCAATCAACCGTTGATGGAGAGTATCCAGATTCAAAGTCCCGAGGGAGCAGATCAACCAATAGAACAGAGAGAGAAAAAGGCATGAGTGAGCTGCCAGTTAATCTGACTTTTCTGTTTTCTTTTTTCAGAGATATCTGCTATAGGGCATGGGCACTTGCCAGAGAGACAGAGACAGAAAGTGAGAAATCACCCCCCCGGGGGGGATGGCTATGACACAAATTCCTGGAATTTTGGGCATGCACGTACACATCTGGCTTGAGTTTCAAGCCACCGGGTCCAGGACTCAAACCAGCTGAACTTGTGGGAGTCTAGTGCCTAAACCACTATACCATCTGCTGGCCCCAAGGCTTCCCTTTTCTGAAGGGAAGATGTAGGCAGAGTGTTGGTAAAAAGAGTCCAAATTGACGGACCCACTTCTAGTACAACTTTCTTAAAACCAGCCAATCGGTAACCAGCAGTTAGCGTAATGGCTATGTCGCTGGACTCCCATGTAGTTGACCACGGTTCGCGTCCCGGACCCGGTGGCTTAAAACTCACACCAGGCGCGTGTGCGTGCATGCCCAAGATCCCGAGAGGAGAATGGAGGAGAAGGGATTGCGGCGTGACCATCCCCTCTGGGGGGTGATTTCTCGCTTTCTGTCTCTATGTCTCTGTCTGTCTGGCGAGCGCACGCGCCCTATAGCGAAAAAAAAACCACTCTCAAAATAAAAAAAAAATAGCCAATCAACACACAGGGTATAGCCATGGATAAGTGATCCCGGAGTGTCTCCTTGAAATAAATACTACGGGCCAGCAAGTGGCATGGTAGTTAAAGGCATTGGCTTCCCACATAGTTGATTGCAGTCCGAGTCCTGGACCTGGTGGCTTGCTTTCTCTCTTCCCCTTTCTCTCTGACTCTCTCTGGTTGAATTAAAGATAATAACAACAAATGGAAATAAATAAATATTTTTTAAAAAAGAAGTACTGTTATTATTGTCTTACCTATCACAGCTCATAACAAGAGGCTCCATGGCAGTGAACATAATAATGAACACAGCCCTAACAACTGCAATCCTCGGGTTCTAAGAGCACCTGACTTTTATTTTAAAGAATTAATTTTAGGGACCAGCAGTTAGTGTGATGGCTATGTCGCTGGACTCCCATATAGTCGACCGTGGTTCGAGTCCCGGATCCAGTGGCTTAAACTCATGCCAGGCGCGTGTCTGTGCGTGCCCAAGATCCCGAGAGGAGAATGGAGGGGAAGTGACTGCGGTGTGGCCATCCCTGCTGGGGGGTGATTGCTCATGTTCTGTCTCTCTGGCGAGTGCACGTGTCCTATAGCAAAACCCTATCCAAAAAAAAAAAAGAATTAATTTTCTTTTTTATTATTATTGTTTTATTTGCTATAGGGTATGCACACTCAAAGACAGAGAGCCAGACAGAGACAGAAAGGGGAAGTGAGAAAGCAAGCCACCAGGTCTGGGACTCAAATCACAGCTGGCCATGTAGAAGTCATGCCACCTCCTGGCCCCAGCATCTGACTCTTAAGATTTGAAGATGTTTATCATTCCAGAGAGGAGGAAGACGTGCTACCAAAAGAAACAGGATTCTTGGTCAAAGAGTTTAGTTAAGATTCTCAACAGTGCCCGTTCTCTCCAGTAGACAGGACAGGGTGGGTGCGTGCTGGGGCTCTTCGGCTTAGCTTAGCCCCTTTCCAATTCTTGGCCTTGCCCAGACAGAGCACTGGAACATGAGGAACAAGGCAACTCCGCCAGCCTCACACGGTTCTAGTACCTTGTTCTTACTCTGACAGGGTTTTTGGAGAATTTTCTTCCAGCTGAAAAGCTAGGATTCCAAGGAGTAATACAGAAATGGAGCTCTACAATTTAACTTCTTTATTCCTATCTCAACGAGCTTTATTCCAAGGAGAAGGCAGATTTTGCTTGTTTCATTTTTCTTTTTTTTAGAGATTTTTGCCCTAGGGCATGTCTGCTTGAGAGAGAGAGAGAGAGAGAGAGAGAAGGAAAGTGAGAAATCATACCCCAGGGGTGATGGCCAAGCTGCAATCCCTGGAGAAGGCAGTTTTTGTTATTTTTTTCTTTTTCTTTGAGAGGTTTTTGCCATAGGGCGTGTGCGCTCGCCAGACAGAGAGAGA